GCCCTTCATGCTTTTTAACAATTTTTGAAAACAACTGAAGTAACTTGGTCATCCTTAAAATCTCACGGTTCTTGATAATTCGTTGCTGGATGATTATCTCAGAGAAAATTTTGTACGACTTATTGGTGGTCCTCATCGGTTCTAAGCAGATAAATAAGGGCAAATTGTTAGATTTTCACTCCCATCCGCATGAAAGATTTGGGGAATATTGATGCAGGAATAGAAAAAAAAAAAAAACATTTTTTACCGCATTAATTATTTTAACAGCTTAAAAAAAACAATGCAATTTTGTGACTGGAAGTATACTTTCTTTAAAAACCAATAAAATTAAATTACTTTTTACACAATATGTAGAATATTCTTTGCCAAATAAAAACAGACCCTCCCCAGCTAACAATATTACGTTATAAGAACGTTATGATAACTTTACAGTTCAATTGGTGATAAAAATGTTATTTTATAGAACCATTATGTACATACTTACAACCTCATTTCACAACCTCATTTCACAACCTCACAACGTTTAAATGTTCTTACAACGTTGTGTGAAGTTTATTTTGTGACATACCTAACCACAACATTCGCGAACGTTATAAGAATGTGTTTTGTGTTTGCTGGGTCCCTCATCAATAAAAAAAAAACAACATTCTATTGTTCTGATTAAAAAAAACAAAAACCACCTGCCCTCATCACTTTTTTCAGAAAAAAGACTTAATTTCTTCTATGTGTTCTAATGCAAAATAAATGAAAATCATGTCATTGATAGAAAAAATTTGATGGGAATTATAGTAACTTCATACTTACATTTTAGCATCAACTTTTCTGGTTAAAAAGCGAGTGTACTGCTTGTAGCGAGAACGATGATAGTGCACCTCAATAGCTACACAGTCCTTGTCTCTTATGTGTATTAAGACACTCTCATCTGAATTTTGCTTCCGCAGCTTTACGTAACAGTCCTATATGAAATATAAAATATTACCGTTACATTTGCCAAGTAGATTAGTATTTTTTATATTGATATTATAATTATTATTATATCATTGTTAATGAATATTTCAATAACTCACTCACAAAAAAACGACTGTTCATTCAGACACAGTCACTATATGTCTGAGGGTCATAGATTAGCTTATTAGGCAAGCATGCATAAATTACTGCTGAAAGCACTGCACAAGGACAAGGTCAGATATGGGCAAATAAAAAAAATTAAATCATACGTACCTCCATCTTCAGTCTCTGTTTGGTAAAGTTTGTCTTTTTGACGTTTGTGGCTAAGCGTAATGTAGCGGTCACGATTTTTACAAATCAGATAAATAGCTGGTAAAACTGATTGACTAGCGCCAGTGTTGACACACTGTGATTTGATTAGGCGCCCTCTATGGGCGGTCTCTCGATACTCC